TGAAGCTCTTTTTGGTGATGCCTTGTCTGTGGATTTTTCTGATCTATGAGTTTCCACTTTTCATAGTTTGCCTTCATTATTGATTTCAGAGGAGGAAATCTCATCCCTTATTGCTCCATTTGCATTTTCACTAGTCGAAAACTTTCCTAATCGTCGTTCGATGCTTGATGTTATTAGGAAATTTTTCTTTAATTTGAAACTTTTCGGAGAATTTTTGGCTACTTTTCTTGATGCTAAGCATGTGTTAATCAAATTGATCAATGATATGGATTATTGTTGTGTTTTTGCTTATCGCTCATACTTTGTGAATAACTGTTTCATGAAACTTACGAAATGGTCGCCAAAATTTGATATTGCTGAAGAATCTCCTATTATCCCTATTTGGGCGTCGTTCCCGATTCTTCATCCGCATCTTTTTGCTCCCCGAATCTTGCATGGTCTTGGCTCTATTTTTTATCGGCCTTTGCGATGTGATACTGCAACCGCAAATAGCTCTCGTCCTTCGATTGCCCATGTGCTTGTTGAATTTGATATTACTAAAAAAAATGTGGATTGGCCCGGAGAAATTGGTCTATATCCAAAAAAGTTTTAATGGATGAATTCCCTTCCTTTTGTGGCCATTGTGTGGCCATTGCAAGTCTTTGGGTCATCTTAGGAAGGAATGCATTTCTTGCATCCGCATTTAGCTAAGGGGCCTCTTAAACCTAACGGTGTTGTTTATGCTCCCTCACCTTTGGTTTGGGAGGAAATGTTGTGGATGTTGTGTGTGATAATGTGGAGGTGGATAATGCCTCATGTCATATGGGGGAAATTTTGTTTGTTTAAGAATCTACCGGGGTTGGGGATTCCACTCATGACAATGTTGATATCCCTTTGGCTATCTCTTCTCCTGTGCCTAATATGTTTATTGAGCAATGTGAATTCAGGGAGGGTGTTGATGATGACTTGGGGGTTAAAATTGGTATGGTGTCATATGTCGTGGCTATTGAGAATACTATCCCATCAGTGGGGGTTGATTTAAATTTTGGGCACAACAATGGCGTTGATAACCATAATACCCATAAGGATTTAGTTGCACTTGTTTCTAATGTTGTTTTTGATGCTGATGGTGTAATGGATCAGAAGGAAACTGATTTTAGCTTGTCTCATGAAAAGTTAGATTGTTGTGATGTTAACAAGATGGTGCTGAATGATTCATCTTGCTGATTGGATGTCTCCTAACGTAATTGTGAAAGATCCATTTGCTGATGTCCCTATTTCTATTCTATCTAATGACGCTTTAAGAACTTATTTGGTGGCTTTAAAGGATCCTTTTGTCAACCATTCTGATTGTCTTGATGAGTCCTTTTCATCGCCTGGTGTGAGTGGTGGGGAGGATTTAGATGGGACTGACGATCATTTCAATGAAATGTTTAATTTAAAGGTATGTAACCTAGTCAAAAATGTTTTGTCCATTGAGGGTGGCAAACGTCGTAGGTGTAAACATAAAAGGAAGTAAGCTTGGTTTTGTTCTCTGCTGTTCTTGGCACATTTTTGGCTTTTTCTATGGTTTTTGGGTGATGTACTTGGTCGGTTGGGGTTTCTTGTGATTGTTTGGTTCGGTGTTGCTTGTTGCTGTGGGGTTTGACTTTGATGATTCTTGGTGTGATGTTGGCTTGGGGTTTTGTTGGAGGTGGGTTGTTGGGGGTTCTCTCTGTATGGTTGTTCGTTTGGTTTCATTGCTACTAGTTGGCTTATTGCTGCTTGGTTCTTTTATTTTTTTTTCCTATAGGGTTACACAGCTTGGAGCTCGTCTGAGTTGTTTTCTTGGCTTCTAGTGGATTGGTCGTTGTTGACTTCGTCCGAAGAGTCTCTTCATAGTTTGCTTTTCTTCTCAATTTCTTGATTTTGTATGGTTTGAATCAACAACCCGTAGGTTTTATTTCAATTAATGTATTTTAGATGACTATTGATTCTATAAGGACTTGTAACATTTTTTTATTTTCAACGCACAAGCCTCATGTGTGGGTTTTATCCAAAAAAAAAAAAACAAAGAATAAATGATGGCATGTGGATTATTTAAAAGCTCATCAATGATCTTCCATTTCAAAACATAATAATTTTTTTAACTATGATAATTCATGTTTTCAAATTTTCTAAGATAGTACTAGACTTCATTTGAGAGAATTTTTTTAGTGCTTTTTAGTACACAAATTTTTTTTATATTTTTTTTTACTAAAAAACTATTTTAAAAAGCAATAAAAAAATCATCCTAAACGAAACCTTACTGTTTTCACAAAAACACTCTTCATGGGCTTATTATAGGATACCCCCTCTTTGTTTTTTTTTTGTGTGGAAATTTACATACATACCACTTTATTTCATATTATTTACATATTTAACACCCAAAACATTAATATTACATGCCTACCACTCATATACAACTTTAATATCAAATATACCACTCCTATAATTCATTTATACCATTCATACCATCCTATAAGTTTTAATATTTCATTCCACGTACCTAAATTTGTTCTATGGGTGATAGTCATATAATATTAATGTTTTGGATGTTAGATATGTAAATAATATAAATAAAGTGGTATTTATGTAAACCCCCCCTTTTTTTCCTATTCGTAATTAATTGACAAACAAAACTCGCTTAAAGAGTTAAAGCTGACTGCACAGATTTAACTACCATTATATGTAATAATAAGCTGTCAAAGAATTTTACTCCGACATTCGAAAATTTCCTTAGGATATTTATGTGATGATGACCATCAAGATTTCAAAACTTGTGTACAATCTTAACATAGTCTATTCACCAACTAGAGACAACTTTGATGGTTATCACTACAAAATTAAAACACAATCATAAACCTCCAATTGATTACGTTGGTTGAATACGTTCAAAAGAATCAAAACTTTATTATTAAAATAAAACTAGATTGAGGTTTAATCAATATATCAATATCGTTCGATAAGATTTACGCTGGCTATCGACTATCATATGCAAGCCTCAACTTTTCTCATCTAGAACTTGAGAATTGATCAAAACAGTGCGAAATGAATAACTTTTAATAGGATACAATGGAGAAAAAAGACATAAAACCGACCCTATATAGTGGGGTAAAAGTTTGTTATTATTGAGGTTAATCAGCATCAACATTTGACTACCAAAACTTTCTAAAACTAGATGACAAACTATCTATTGCAAGTAAATTTGTAGGAGGAAATTATTAGCGGTTACACGAATGGATATGTTTCAATAGTTTTTGCACGCACGCTATACTCATTGCTAGGCTCACCTAAAAATGTATTCGATCAACATTCGACGTTGATGCATTCGAATAAAACTGATTTGAAAAATTAAGCATCTCAACCATAGTTTCGTTTGACTACGATTTTTTATTAATTTTCTACTATTTTTTAAAAATGTATGTGCTATAAAGCTACTTTATACGATCATAATAGACAAACTTTATAAATCACTGTAGCTGTCCCAAATAGAATCTAAGGCTTCATTTTCGACAGTTTTTTTTTATTGCTTCTTAAAATAGTTTTCTAGTTTAAAAATTTAAATTTTCTTACTAAATAGCTAATTTAAAAAACAGTAAGAAAGCCGTCCCCAAATGAAGCCTAAATTTGACAAATAAAGTGAATTAATGCGGCACTCTTTGCGAATGAACTCTAATAACGAGTATTTTTTCGAATGAACTCGTGAAATTATTAATAAATAAGTTCACGACAAACTTTATAAATCACTGTAGCTGTCCCAAATAGAATCTAAGGCTTCATTTTCGACAGTTTTTTTTTATTGCTTCTTAAAATAGTTTTCTAGTTTAAAAATTTAAATTTTCTTACTAAATAGCTAATTTAAAAAACAGTAAGAAAGCCGTCTCAAATGAAGCCTAAATTTGACAAATAAAGTGAATTAATGCGGCACTCTTTGCGAATGAACTCTAATAACGAGTATTTTTTCGAATGAACTCTAATAAAGAGTATATTTAAGAATAAATATTTAATTTTCTTGCTTATTCAATTAAAAATGATTTTTAAATTTGGGACCATATTCTATGCAAGAGCGACCCAAGAAATGAGATGTTGGTATAGGAGAAGTATTTGGCCGTTAAGTCGGTAAATAAGTAGGTTTGGTTTGAAAACTAAAATTGGTTTCCACTAATATAGTCAATAAAATAATAATTTACGTTTATTTAATGGTCTGAAATATAATCATTAAATATGAGCAGCATGGCTATAATTGAGCCAAGTTGACTCATTAGCTAGTTCGGGCTAAGTTCGATAAATGATCTGCGTGTTGAGTTTATTTAACTAACGAGTAAATTTGAGCTAGCACTAATTTGACTGGTTAGAAAATATTGATATTAGAGATCAATCAAATATGACCGGGCCAATTAGTGGCTATATATGCGATTATCTTAGAGTTGTAAAATTTTAATGTTTATCTCATATAATTAAAGAGATATAATTATTTTTTTTTGGTGACAAGATTTAATTAGGTCTTATTATGTTATTATTGTATTTATTTTTTTTTTTTCATATTTTTTTTATATTGTCTTGCTTCTGCTGTCGTCGTTGTCGCTCCTGCGCACCATCGACGTCAACCGACACTGCCACCTGCCGCTGACCACCACCACCTTAGCCTCCGCCTCCCCCGCTGGCCGACCACCCTCATCATCGCCACCTCATCTATTAACCACTATCATTTTTTAATTTTATACTATATTTATTATTTCAAATCAATAAAAAAATTTATTCGCTTATATGTTTTTTATATTCATTCAAATAAATCAATTTTTTTAATATTATATATTTTTTTACAACCAAATAACCCCTTAAAAGTAAGGTAAAACCGTACAAGAACTGCGCCCCTTCTAAATTCTAATTGATAACTTATCTATGTAAATCCCGTTGATTATAAAATCTAAACCAACGCCGGCTGGGTAGAATCGCGGGATCGCTTACCTGTACGCCTACTAAAACAGTTCCTGCGGGACAGCACACGTAATCAGCCAAAGAACACGGAATGAAAGGGAAAACCTAAGAAGTAACGGAAAGCAGTGAGAGGGAGTGGAGATCTCCAATTCTCCCTTTTGTTCTCTCTCCTTCTCTTCACGTTGAATCTTGCCGGTGGAAGCGGCGGCAGTGGCTATGGCTCCGGTGTCGGCGCTCGCCAAGTACAAGCTGGTGTTCTTAGGGGATCAGTCTGTGGGGAAGACCAGCATCATCACTCGTTTCATGTACGATAAGTTCGACAACACCTACCAGGTTGAATCAAAACTCCGCCATTAAGTAGCTTCTTTCAGTAACGAATGATTCTTTTCATGATCGACCTGTGATTTTCATCTAGGGTTTTGACCTTGCAGGATGATTTCAAAATGGGTATTCTTGTTAAGCTTGGCTTAGGCTACTTTAATTGATTTTGTTTATTTAACTTGTTTTATTTTCAAAACTTAAGTAGCTTTTTGGCTGCAAGTAGGATCTAACTCAAGGCAGGATTCAGTAATTATTGTAAATCCAGATTTACTAAACTCAGAGGCAGTTAAATTTTTAAAATTGTTTGGCATGACAAAATTAAATCAAATTAAATATTGGGGAAACTTTTTGGCTTCTTAATTCAGGATTTAAGGTAGTTTATTCAAGCAGGATTTAGCAAGAATTCATATTCATAAAATGTGAAAAGGCTGTACAATTATAAATAATGATAATCACAAACCAGCTCCACGTTACCAAGAGCCTCTGAACTAAGAAACAAATATAGTTTAAACACAATTAATTTTCTTTTGCCTCATTAATGTGAGATTATTAACCAAAGTTAGCGACGCCTTTTACTCATTGCATTTGAATAAAATATTACATTAATAAATTATGCTTAATTGTAAAATTTCTTTTAATTAAGCAAAAATCTTACATGTGCATCCCTCATGTCGGTGGCAATTGAATGTCTCACAACATCTCCTTGAATTCTTTCCTCTACTATTACATGTATGCATCATTGGCTTTTACCTCACACACTAATGGTCATGTTGCATCTTAGTTTAAGACATCTTAACATAGAGATCATATCAATGACAGAGATCAATAAAAGAATAGCCTAGAAGTTAATTTGGAAGCTTCTACCTCACCCAACTTACTTTCATGTTGCATCTTACTTTTATACAAGTTAATCTTTGCATTCCTATAACTATATATATATATATATTTCTTGTGTATTTAATTCTTTTCGTGAATTTAACTATATATTCGTCTCCTTTTATATATGAATTTCTTAAGGTGTTATGGATCATTTTAATTATTCATATATGGATGAACAGGCTACTATTGGGATTGATTTTCTTTCAAAAACAATGTATTTGGAGGATCGAACTGTTCGACTGCAGCTTTGGTGAGTTTATGATATTGTTGCATATTTCTTCAGTAATTCCATTGCTTTTTCTGCTCATTTTATTTATTAACTCTTAAAAACGTCTAAATAGATGTAACCAAATTCAAGTTACCTCCTCACTTTATAAACTTCAGTTATAGTATTGATACGTCATCAAAATTTTATCTTTATCGGGCACAAATCTCGCGGCAAAATCAAGTTGGAAACTTCCAAAATTAAAATTGGAACCATCTGAACTCCGATTTCAGCAAACTTACAGTCGAACTGAGCGTCTCA